CACAATCTCCGAAAATTAGAATATTACTTAAGACCAATACAAAAAAAGGATTTTTAGAAATGTTGGCCAACTGAAAAGTATGAACACGAAAAGTATGAGCATGTACAGCACACAATACTTAGTTGGGGCTCCTTTTGCTTGAATTACTGCAGCAATGCGGCGTGGCATGGAGTCGATAAGTTTATGGCACTGCTCAGGTGTTATGAGAGCCCAGGTTGCTCTGATAGTGGCCTTCATCTCTTCTGCATTGTTGGTCTGGCGTATCGCATCTTCCTCTTCACAATACCCCATAAATTTTCTATAGGGTTAAAGTCAGGCGAGTTTGCTGGCCAATTAAGAACAGGGATACCATGGTCCTTAAACCAGGTACTGGTAGCTTTGGCACTGTGTGCAGGTGCCAAGTCCTGTTGGAAAATGAAATCTGCATCTCCATAAAGTTGGTCAGCAGCAGGAAGCATGAAGTGCTCTAAAACTTCCTGGTAAACGGCTGCGTTGACCTTGGACCTCAGAAAACACAGTGGACCAACACCAGCAGATGACATGGCACCCCAAACCATCACTGACTGTGGAAACTACACTGGACTTCAAGCAACGTGGATTCTGTGCCTCTCCTCTCTTCCTCCAGACTCTGGGACCTTGATTTCCAAAGGAAATGCCAAATTTACTTTCATCAGAGAACATAACTTTGGACCACTCAGCAGCAGTCCAGCACTTTTTGTCTTTAGCCCAGGCGAGACGCTTCTGACACTGTGTCTTGTTCAAGAGTGGCTTGACACAAGGAATGTGACAGCTGAAACCCACGTCTTGCATACATCTGTGCGTGGTGGTTCTTGAAGCACTGACTCCAGCTGCAGTCCACTCTTTGTGAATCTCCCCCGCATTATTGAATGGGTTTTGTTTCACAATCCTCTCCAGGGTGCGGTTATCCCTATTGCTTGTACACTTTTTTCTACCACATTTTTTCCTTCCCTTCGCCTCTCTATTAATGTGCTTGGACACAGAGCTCTGTGAACAGCCAGCCTCTTTAGCAATGACCTGTCTTGCCCTCCTTGTGCAAGGAGTCAATGGTCGTCTTTTGGACAGCTGTCAAGTCAGCAGTCTTCCCCATGATTGTGTAGCCTACAGAACTAGACTGAGAGACCATTTAAAGGCCTTTCTAGGTGTTTTGAGTTAATTAGCTGATTAGAGTGTGGCACCAGGTGTCTTCAATATTGAACCTTTTCACAATATTCTAATTTTCAGAGATACTGATTTTGGGGTTTTCTTGAAATATATCAGTCTGAGCAGAATGAATGTATACATTATACAAGTTTCACTTTTTGAATGGAATTACTGAAATATGTCAACTTTTTGATGATATTCTAATTATATGATCAGCACCTGTATACGTTGTCACATTTCATCATTAAAGTATCCAGACTGATGAAACCAGTAAAAATACAAATAAAAATGTATGGTCAAGCTACAAATCTATATAAAATGTGTATAAAACGTCTCCTTTAAGAGGAGTATCATCCAGAAACCTCCAAATTGTATTATAACTGTGAATAAATTAGTTTAAACAACTTTAAACGACTCACTCTGTCCCATTTGAGTGCTGTGTGCTGCCGTATAATTGGAGTTACATCAATCAAAAGACCCAATTTTCCACATGAGCAGCTCCTAATATGATATTTGCAATTTTATAATCATTTAAATACTCAAAATTGACAGAGTGAAGGAGACAAGCTTTGGAGAACGTGTGGCTCAACACCAAACTCCAGTACCGGGCTCCCAAAAGTACTAAAAATCTCTCTACTATGAGTATGAGTACACAATTAGATGCAAACAATTGACATAACTCATCTTTTTTTAATTAAACTATAATAATTTTTGCAGTTAGGAAAAATCAACATCACAATTAGTGGTCTGATTTTAAATTTACCCAGTAATAACCATTTAAGAATGTAGTGGGGTACAAACATGGCAGCCTCTCGCTTCTTCCAAAAAGTCATGTGGTAATAAAATACAACAACCACAGAGTGAAAATCACATTAACGCACTTCACTCTCAGTTAACTGTGCAGCTCTGGATTCTGGCTAAATATAGAAATGTAATGGCATCACTGTAATACCGAAAGTTATTGAAAAGATTACTCTCTTGGGTGTTCTGCTGTAGTGCAAGTGAACATGGTCAGAAGGGAATAAAAAGGATGACTGCATGCAAATAAATAAATAAAACATCAGTGTCATCAGCATGTTTTGTCTCAGCTCTTGGCAGGAGGTCCATGGGTTAGAGATGCTACTCTGCCATCACTGAAGAGTCAGGGGAACCTTTTGTGAAAGTATCTTGGACACCAGTTAAGGATTGTTTGACGCAGGAGGGGGGAGGGGATATGGGAGGAAACAACTCCAATAACTTTGCACCGTCTGTCAATAAAAACCTTAGCCAATCCCATCTTTCTATAATATTCTGACAAATTATATTTAAGATTGACTCACAAATATGCATGCATACAAATACAACAACAACACAATAATGTTACTGTGTGCCATTACTTGTGTGGGTGCGCGCACACAAGTAGAGAACACACTCCCACGTGCCTGCATCTGTTCCCGGCATCAGTGTAATTAGACAACAGTGATCCAGAACTGCCTCACGTGTGGCACCCCTCAGCGTAAAAAGATTACCTTCAGACAACGATGGCAAGGGGTTTCAAAGGCAACAGTTTCTGTTTTTTTGAATATCAAATTAGAGGCCAGCCGGTGGCTTTGGCATAGTCACGGTAGGAGCGGAGGAGCGGAAAAGGCGCTTGGCAGGGATGCCCATATGTTCCTTTCCAATTTGCTGTCACTCACTTGAACGGCTGCAGAAACAGTAAAGAAGCAGGAGATAGAAGCTCCCACCACTACCCACTCCCAAACCACCAACCTCTCCCCCCCGTCTTAGAGTCCAAACGAAGTCAGACCGCTTTGGCCCAACCTAACTTTGAGCTACAAGGGCACATTCCTGCCAAGGGGAATGCGAGCGTGGGGGAACAAGTGATACGCCTGCGCCTACCCGTCCTCAGAGAGTAGCCAGGAATCCATTTAAGAGGGGGGGAGGGTGGTGGAAGTGGGAGAAGGGGATACACAGGAGAGGTCAAGAACGAACGAGAAAGGGGCAGCTGCTGCATTCATATCACAACGGACACATGGGAGCAAAATGGTTGGAGCGAGGTTGTGATGAGGAAAAGGAGAGGAAAGAGATAAGGAGGACAAGAGTGAGACGGATAAAGAGTGAAGCGGAACGAGACAGTGACAGAAAGTGACCGACGACAGGAGACACAATGTCCTTTAAACGGCAACAGGTGGCAGTGAGAGTACTGAAAGAGATATATAGCGGACAAACAGGAGGGGGGGGGGGGGGGGGGGGGGGGGGCGTCACTGTCAAGGGAGGGGCTGTTGTGGAACTGGAGCCTCCTCTCCGATGTTCTCCTCTCATCTCCTCAGGCTCTCAACGTATCCGCTGAGCCATCAGTCAGTCAGGCCTCTTCAGCACCTGTCTCCTGCTGCCTTCCTGAGGCCTGTCAAGCACAGCCATTTCACTGCTGACAGACTAATGCGCCTACACAAGCTGGAGGCTCCACACATGCCAGGCCCGAAAGGACGATAGAGACACACGAGGGGTGGGAACATGGACGTGGACAGAGGGACAGAAGTCTAAAATCTAAAGATGTTTCTCCCTTGTGTGACAGAAGCCAGTCATCAAACACAACTCTTTTTGTCCAACATTTTTGACATTATAGAGTTGCAATGTTATAGGACTGACAGCTGGAGCACTTCTTCAGCTTGGACGGACATGAAACTCTCCCCGATGAATCATCAGTACAAAAGATGAACAGCTATGTTAAGAAATATGGTTGTTTGAGAAAAACTCCCAAGGTGCATTTCGGCTCAAAATTGCACAACATGCACAGCTAACAAGAGAAGACTGATTACATAATCTGTAGCTTTCAATTTCAGATTCTAAGTCAATTTTGGATGAATTCACCCAACTATGGTGCTGTGATTTGTTAACCAATTCAACATCTGACGCCTTTGACTGGCTTCATCTCCATAGCAACGTTGGCCAAAGCTCATGGGTACTGTAGTATTTTCAGTCATCGGCCAAAATGACAAACATGAATGTACCGACAAGGTTGAAATAATTATAACTGGTAGTCAGACTATACAACTATATCCTTTACTTATCTTTCTCACTTCTACAGGGAACCTTAGAACCTTAGTTCCCTATAAAGGGAAAGAAATGAACTCTAACATATTGAAAGAAAACTACCATCCCAACCATTGACACGTGGCACGTCTGAACACAATCTTTATTTTGCAGTATCATAAAAATATGAGTTTAAGAACAGGGAGTATGAGTGACAGAACAGGATTATCTGGGTTCTTTGTTGCCCTTTCCACCCCCTTTTCCCCTTCCTTATTTTGTTGTCCGTGTTTTTTACTTACTGACCGAATGTCAAGTGGATAATTGTATAGCACATTTATAATTGGTAAACTGAGCAACAATGACATAACTGTTATGTATGTGTGAAGCAAACTGTTAAATAATAATAATAATAAAAATACGTTTATATGTGAGAAAATAGACAAAAATGCCCATCACAAATACCCAGAAGCCATGGTGACTCCTTCAAACTGCTTGTTTTGTTCAATCAACAGTCCAAGATTTTAACATTTCTAGCAGTAAATGTTAATAGTTTTAGTTTGATTAATGATATAACTTATTAATCGATCCTCAAAATGTGTTTTTTGTCAAGGCAACTGAGTGACTGTTACAACAGATACGTATTTGGAGGTCCAGGTTCAGCTACTGAACAGGAGCCATGGCCCTGGTAGGGATTTGGAGACTTGTATAGGACATTTTGGCAGGGCAGATGTTTCCCATAAAGAGAACCATTACACACTCCAACACTTCAGGTAAAAGCAGAGACAGAAAGGAAACAGAATTATTGACAAAGCATGATTTAGTCTTACCCATGCCTGTGGGATCCCCGGGAGCGTCCGGAGTAGTAGGAATAGCCCGAGTACGTGGACTCTGTGTCCATGGTGATGCAGTCCTACCCAGGCAGCCGGGCTTGGGGCAACACAGAGGCTGCTCGGCTGGACCGCTGGCAGACGCAGTGGGGGTGTTGTTGAGCTAGAGGCGATCAATTGGCTCGCTCAAGAGGCTGACAGAGGTGGCGAGCTGTCGACAATCAGTCTTGAAAGCGACCCTGGGGGCGCCCGGTGAGGAAACATCAACCTGGAGGGGAGCGAGCGGGAAGACAGACGGGAAATTTGAATTCAAAATGTGAAATGTCTGGGAAACCTGCCCACATCTGACTGTTAGAGACAGGAGGAGACAGCATTTGTTCGTGCCCCTCATGCATGAACACTCAGACGTGCCTGTGTTTATCTGCAGCTGTATTACAATCAGTATCTCCCAGCTCCAAACCTGCTCTACATTATAGGCAGCTCTCAGGAGGTTACATTCCAGCTGAGCGCTCCAGATTAAAGAAGCACCACTACCATGAAACAACATTTTGCTCTTATTCCCATATGGCTGACAACCGTTGTTCAGAGGCAGGTTAAAGTCTTTGACGCACAGTAAACAGTTTAAGCTTGACACTGACTAACTTTAAGAGCAGCGACAGCGTGAAGATAAAAGCTTCTTTTTCACAGGAGAAGATGGAGGCGTCTCAAGGAGCTGTGATTGCAAACTAACATACCAGGAAATTCACAGAACTGCTCGAAACAATGTGTCCTCATTTTACCTAAATGTCATTACTTTCAATAAATCAGCTGATTGTATCTGTGTAATGCATGTTACATTTTCATTCCTACGCTCCGGAGCCAAACTGTCACAGCAGAACTGCTCTGAGGATGGTAATGACACTGGAAAAATTAATTGCTTGTGGCTAGGAGGACATGCTTCATTTGAAAATAATGAAACTCAGTGAAGCGTTACCTATTGTCTATACCAACATCTCTATTTAACCCCAGGATGTATTATTTAAAATAACATTCTCTAGCTTTCTTAACATCTGCTGTTAAGAACGTAGATTATTATCCTTTTTTTTGACACACCAAACAGCAGAATTTTAATCTCTTCCAATTTTGATTTACTGACTTTCAGTCATTTATGAAGTTAAAAGAAAAACAATGCTGGTTGGTTACAGTGTCAGAAAGAGATAATTGTTCTTTCTCAATGTCATACCATTACTAACAGGATGCTTTAAAAAAAGCATTGTGACATAGAGCTGCAACAATTAATCGAATAATTGATTCCAGCTTCTTAAATGTTAATATATTCTGGTTTCTTTGCTCCTCTATGACAATAAACTGAACATCTTTTATCTTATGGATAAAACAAGACATATGAGGATGTCATCTTGGGCTCCGAGAAACACTGAACAACATTGTTTTTATAATTTTCTGACATTTTATAGACCAAACAAGTGATTGATTAATTGATCAAATAATGTGACAGTAACAAATGTGTAGGTTTGGTTTTAGAACGAGAGCCTGGGGTTCTTTAACTACACAAAAAAAGAACAGAAAACATATGTGAATTCTATTAATTTACATCCCTTTGTATTCAGCTAGCAGATTACAAACTAATGAAACGGGGCTTTGTGCCTTTCAGTGGTCTAACAAAAAGAATTAGAATTGAAATATAAATGCACTTGGATAACGATATTTAGTTTTATTAGAAACACAAGCTACTGCAACACGCTGCTACGAGCAGCACTTTTGACTTAGTCAATGCTACTTCCCTTTATGCTTAATAAAGTAAGAGAAAAGGCTATATTTATATCCCTGACCACAAATCAGGGTTCAAGGTTTTATTAATTGTAAACATGCAGTGAAATGAGTGGACCACGAAAACAGGATCTATACATTTTTTGGTTTATAAAATGTCAAAACATAGTGATGTCATAAAACCCCCCCGCAAATATCAACATTTGATCAACTCATCACGTCTTTCGTCAGCTGGACAGTGAGAGGTTGCTCTTCAGAGAGAGTTTAGCGGGGAAATGAATCTGAAACTTTAAAAATGAGGGGACATAAAACAGGATTTTGAAAAGTGAAGGATACATGCCTCCCCCCACCCCCAAGGGAAAATATACACATGGTTGATAAACTAAGAAACTGTACAATGTCACTGTTGGCTCAGTAAGTAACTAATAAATGAAGAATTGTCAACATACACAAAGGACAAAACAGTGGATGAGTACCAATTGCGTGCAACATGATTTTACATGCATTTTACTTTTCAAGTTTCTCCAGCTGGATAAAAGCACTTAATGATGCTGTAATTGCATTAATTACTATTAGTGGTCGTCACAGGGGAATAGCACTGGGTGATTGGACCTACATTAAGTCATTTCCAGTAAAATCAAGCTGCATTCTTTTCCTCAAGGGGATCAGGGTCCAGTAAAAACGCTGATGGCACCATGCGCAGATGCACAAGCCCAATCAAGCATTAAATAGTTTGCAATACCAAAGACAAAAGCCCACAGACTAATTCCATGTACAGTCCCTGAGCAGGTGGAGCGTTTAAAGACTGCATTAAGGGGAAATGGTGGATGATCAGAGGACTTTTATTGAGTGCACTTGATATAGTATGGTCAGAGGAAATGAGCGAAGATCATATAACAAAGTAAAAGGCGAGAGTTGTGGAGAGGTGTATGAATGAGATGCATTTGGATCAAATGAGTCAGGTTAAATGCATATATTTGAGTAGCTGCACAAAAGGGAGAGAAAAAAAGGAAAAGTTAGTTCTGGGTCGCTTGAGGTGTGCTGTAAACACACTCATGTAACTCACCTGCACACACACACAAACACACAGCTTCTCAAACAGCTCTGGGTGAGATTAAGATGTGAAGTGTGAAATACACAGGTGTAAAGATTTAACCAATTTTTTCTCACATAACGCTCATGCCCCTGCACATGAGCACTTTGAGCCAGCCTACACTTGGCATTAAACACCCATGAGCTCTATGGAGTGAAGGACAAAAAGAACTATTAAATCTGAGCGGATATTCACCAGATGGCTCTCTCAACTAACATTTTGAGGTTAAGTGTCTGGGATTAACATCATCAAGCAGTCGTTTAAGGGTATGAACACATTTTTATGTTTTAATATTTGCATCCATCATCCAGGGTGCTTCAAACACTCCTCTTTCATACCACCACTTTGTCCAGTCATACTAGTCTGTAGTTGCAATACGCCTCCCGATCGAAACCTGCACTGAAACTCTCAGGCCAGGCTAGGAGCACAAACACAAAGATTTATGGCTGATTTATGGCTCCAGTCGCCTTAAAGGTGAGAGAGACTCAGAAAACCGTCTCCCTCACAAGACATCCCTGCTTTTCTGCATTCACTACTCCAGGAAAAAGAATCACTTAGCCAAATTTAGTGCAAAAAACTGCAATCTTTATCTGCCACTTCAAACACTCATCACTGGGTCCAAAAATACACTGTGGCACAAAACATGTAGTTATGACCCAGTTCTGAGGAGTGTGGTGTCGGCACATCTGTGAGTGACTCTCTTGTGTGTTTGTGTGCCTGCGTGACTGTCAGACTCCTGCAAATGCTTTGAAGGTTGCACAACTGCATATTTGGATATACTCATTCTGCAAATCATTTTTAAATGTCTGAATCATCCTCACATGGTGACAAATCCTACCTCAACTGGTTCTTCGTAGTCTCACTGCCAACCAGCTGCATTACTGATCCCATTCAATACTTCAAGTGAAGCTGGGTTTTCCAAAAGCCCTTGTCATCAGGAGCAACTTTTTAATCTTCACTGATGTAAAAATGCCTCCAACAGATGACTTTGTTTTACTTTATTTATTTTGATACTTTGGATATGAAAATTAGCTGATAATGACAATGAGCAGTCAGTTAGCTTTGGACTGACTTTGACTTTGCATCGACTTTGTCCAATGTCAAAATCTACATCCCAGAACCTTTAAATCATGTAGACAAACATACAGTTGACATAAATAAATGTAGAAATATATAAATATGGAATAGACAATGCAAGTTAGATAAGAATAATTAAAAGAATAGAGAAAAATAATATAACTATTTGCAGAGAAAGTACAACGTCACAGATATTTACATGTGCATTATTCCGGGTTTGTGTTGTGCGACCAGCATTAACCTGCAACAACAGGTTAATGCTGTTACCTTTGGACAGAGTCAGGCCAGCTGTTTCCCCGTTTCCAGTCTTCATGCTAAGCTAAGTTAGCTGGCTGCTAGTGATAGCTTCATAGTTCATACATCAGTGGCAGCTGGTTTCCACAGAGGGGAATGTACCAAAAATCATGCATACATGTACTAAGGTATCACATCAGTGTATTTAAGCAAAGCCTAACCAAGTAGTTGACTAAACATAAGAGTTAGTTAGCGTGGGTTAAATAATACATTTTTGTTTCACACAGGACACGAACAGCAGTCTCCTGGTGTCTGAACCGTTCGTCCAACCCAACCAGCTCCCTTTGTGGACTTAGTCACTCTTTATACTAAGTCACCTGACTTCCAAAAGGTTCTCTGGCAGAAGGTTTTTAAGAAAGTCTTTGGATTGTTGTTGATTTATGACACCGGGCTGATCAGGTCCTAGATCTTCCACTTTCAATGTTTGTCTTTCAAAAGGGATTATTTTTAGTGACTTAATTCTGTCTCCATTCTAGCTACATTACATATTATGGCAGATGCACCATGAGCCACTCACTCTCTGCTGCCAATAAATGGCTGGTGGTGTGTAAATCAGAAGTATTCAGATAAATGCTGTTGTTGAACAGGTGCTTGTACAATATTGTTGAAATATTTGATTTGACAGACAGTTGTTTGATAAAATACACATGTCGATACAACTAGCTATAGGTTATGGTACTGAATGATAATGCAAGTTATTATGTTCCGGACTTGTGCTTTGGGAAATTTTGAGTGGAATCTCTAACTCTCAGAAAGAAAGCGAATTTCCTAAACGTTTCCCATAAATATAAAATAAAATGCCAATTTGTATACTCGGATTCGGCAGCTTTACTTAAAAAAACATAAATTATTACAAAACAAAATCTGATATCCTAAACATTTGAGAGGTGTTACCTATGCCAGGATGGAAGTGGTCAGACATTGCTAATGCTCTACAGCAGGAATTTATGGATTGAGTAATGACTGCTAAGCATGCTGGACACAATCACAGAGGCATTTCCATCACCTGTTTTAATCCTCTTAAAAGCAAGGGCACG